TAGAGTAAAGTTAAGGTCCACATGTATGCTTCCAACTAATCATAAAAGATCAAAGCCTACATGTATGCTTCCAACAAATCATAATAAATTAATGTAAACGGATTCTTCTGTTAGCTAGGGAGTTTCAATTCTGTTAGTTAGCTCAGCTTAGGGTTCTTAGTTCATATATATATTTAGCTAATGTATCACTTTGAAGATAAGATATCATTTTGTATTTTTTTCAAATAATGAAATAACTAAAGTTTCTCTTAGTTTCTCAAAGGTATTTATTATTATTATTATTATTATAAGGAAGACAAATACTACTTATCAATTGGTAACAGATCTAAATCCTCTCACGTTAAAATTTGACATGATTTTTGTCATATATTAGATCACATTTATTTATTCACAAATCTACAGTCCAATTGCAATAAACCATATTTCATAAGTCAAAAAATCACTTTAATTAATTATTATTGATATGTGAATGGATGACTACAATCTAAGACATGACAATATCATATCAAATTTTAACATGAGAGGATCATGATACATTGTCAATCAAGAAACCAACAAAAAGTTATGTCAAAGAAAGCAACCATAAATGTTGTTCATATGCTCTCTCAATTCATTAATGACCTAAAGCAACTTCACTACAATGCAGCCAAGGGTGGGTCAGGCTAGGTCATTCTTTGGCCTTAATAACCTAAGCCTATGTAAAACATTTAGAGCTTGCATTGTCCTATTAGCCTATTAAAGGCTTAGTAGAATTTATAAATATATTATTATATTAAAAAATAAAAATGACAGCCTGCAGGCTCTTAGGACAGGCTTTTTAGAGTGAGTTTATGACCTAATTTTTAAATGGGTTTTTCTAAAAGACTAAACATGCTCTATTTTCTAAATAGATTGGACAAGGCCAAGCCTAAGATAGGTCAAATTATAGACCCCTGATAAGTCGTCTGACCTATTTATACCCTAGATGTAGAACGTGTTGCACTATATCAAGTAGACTCCTAGCCAATGACTTTTGTTAAAGTCTGACTAAGATCTCCAGGTTAGGGATTTTTGTAACTCTGATCAGGCCGGATGTCCACTCACTCGTTGATCAACCACTATAATCTTTTTTATGGTTGGTCAATCCTATATATCGTGGAAAACTAAGAAGCAAGGAACAATTTCAAGATCCTTGGCTAAAGCTGAGTTTACAACTATGACCACCATGTAACATCCCGTCGGTCGCCGGTTTGTTAACTCGTATATAGTACTTAAATTGCAGAATAATTAAATTCTGAAGCGGAAGACTTAAGCAAATATTTCACCGTTACTTAAATAACTAGGTGACTTAAATTTTTTCTTTTAAATTATCTTTACGTATCGCCGTGCATAATTTATTTTTGAATATAACATAGTTTATATAGTCCCACACCTGCATAGAATTCATACTTAATAAACCTGTGACCATAATTATTGATCAAATTACTATCCGAATATGATAATGAATACCATTTCGAATAGAGTCTTTACGGACAGCATAACGACTGTAAATCGGACTAATCCAGGGATAAAATCCCACTTCCTACATAACACCTGATAAACATAAAAGTCCAATCTACATATACAGATACATACCAGAATATGGCTTTGTGCCACTACTGATATCAACCTACTTAACAACATACACACTTATACATAATCTTGTCATCTGTATACAATTACCTATAGGCTACATATACCTCTCAAAATGGAAATCCGTACTGTACATATGCATGAACATAACATATCATGCTCAACAAAACATATATGTATATAGTGATACTCAAGAATGCTACACTAGGTAACTGCTCCAGCTAGTATCTCTAGCCATCCTGAACTGGTCTCTTGCCCTGTGAGGGCTCTCCTGCATCTGTAGTACCTGAAAAGTAAGTCCCCAGACGGGGTAAGATTAATCATCTCAGTAAACCCAGGATTTATGGAGTAGTCTCCACCCATGAGTTCGCTTCCTGCATAAATGTCAAATAATATAGCATAGAAGACATCACATAATCATACACATACATAGACTTATAGAACTATACTCTAGGGGTTGTATCCCGCAAAGAGATCTTAACCTATACCCATAACTATACCTATACTCCCAAGGGTTGTATCCCGTAGAGGAGATCATAACATATATCTATACTTATACTCCTAGAGGCTATATCCCATAAAGGATATCTTAACATAAACGTATACTCTCAGGGGCTATATCTCGCAAAGGAGTCCACACTCGTACTCTCCAAACCTATACGTACCATAACATATTTCCTTATAACCTATCAAATAGCAACATATCATATTAATCCATACTATTTCATATCACATCATAACATCATATAACATAACATAAGATTCCCAAAGCGTAGTTTCTCACTTTGACCAGCCTATGAACTCCCAAAGCGTAATTTCTCACTCTGACTAATTCATACATAATCTCCGAGAACGTAAGTCTTCAATGGAGTGTTCATTGATTAAGAACCATATATCATACATACATATCATATCATATCAGATTATAACTGTCATATCATATCATATGCATAAGCTACATGAATGCAACTATACTACATATCCACATTCATCACAACATATACTATATGAACCATCATCCAAACGGACTTCGGTGGAACAATATACCAGAGAAAACTCTGAAACCAAGAGCTTACCTGAATCTAGATTTTCTTTAAACCCTGCTTGTACGTCACTAACGTTATCCGTATATCTATAACCGTCAATATCACCTATTCACACATGATCTTTATGTCAATACATAATTACTTACACTTGAAGAATCCTCCTACATACATACGTATTTCAAAATTCTTCTTCAAGTTAGTTCGCATAATTCTTAACATATTCTTGCTTACCAATTCATGCCAATTCATACCAATTCACAAGTCAATACACAAATTTAAACATATACTTAAAGTCTTACATATTAACACATTTAACCTAATTCACTTAACCCATAGGTTAACTTAGGTTTCCACACTTTCACCATACATAACATACACTTGATTTTACTTGATTTATTCAATCAAGCACTTAATTAAATTAAAAACCATACCTAGATCATACAACCACAAAGTGGCCGAATGGTACTAGTAAGGTTACATGCATTTCATGCATTCTATTCTTTATCAAAGACTACTCAAAGCAACTTTTAACTTTATTTTCCATTATTAAACTCAATGATCACATAAAGTGCCAATAACCATTCTATGCTTTCAACTAAAGAATCAATTAATTCATTTCATCCTAATACATTCATTTAGCACCTAACATCCTTAAAACATAAGTCAACAAGCATCCAAGACCTTTTTACTTAATATGGCCGAAATAGTTACTTAATTTCCAGCCTGAACAGTCCACACCAATTAATTCATCCAAAAATCCATTTCTTATCCGTTTGCCCTAAAATTTTAGTATTAGACATGTGCAGCTTCAATTTGCAACAAACCCCACTCAATTTAGAGGTCTATAACTCCAGATATGCATTTTTGAAAAACAGGATATATTTAAGGTCTACATGTTCCACGAATTTTATACCACTTCCAATGATTAAAACTTAATCCAATTAATTCCATACTCATCAAAACACAACATATACTCATCATTTAACATCATACAAATTCATCCCCCTTTTCATAAACCCTAATTCAAAAATTGCAGGAAACAACCATCAAAAGTTAGGATTAATACCTTAAATCACTTTAAGAAGACTATATCTTCAATTATCCTTCAAACAAGCTTCAAAACCATAAATTCCCCCATGATTGCAGTTGCTGGTCGAAGGTTTAAGAGGAGAAAATAAGGCACACAAAGCTTCTTTTAAAGATTAGAAACTAGGATTTTACTCACAAGATGACTAGGAAGATTTTCTCTCAAAGAAACTATGCATTTTGGTGACCAAAAGACCAAGTTCTTGAGCTCTCCTTTCCTCCAATGGCTTCCACGATTTTGAGAATAAGAAACATCAGATTTTTGGCCCTTAAAACAAGCCAAAACCGACCTTGTATGTATAGGAAATATTTAGCTCACAAAATTTGACTTTGTAAAGCTTTATGTTATCTTATTTCCTATTGCTTGATTTTATTAATCCATGTCTTAAACTTTATAATTATTCTTAACATAATTAACATGGTTTAAGACTACTCTAAACCCTTAAAGAATTCCATAGAATTTAATCATATAATTTAATTAAAGTTTTGACCTAGTTTTTGCTTAATTGTGAAATGGTCTCTATACTTTCCCATAATTAAAATTTGACCCCTAAACTTTTAAAATATTACTATAAGGGTCCTAATTGACTTGCTTGGCTTGAATTGTATTTTTATAATTTATTTCATATTAATCGGATGATTAACATATCATTTCTAGCTTCTGTAACGTATACACCGAAAAAGTACATAATTTAACTATGTAATTCCATAATTTCCTATTCTTATGTAATTATATCCATAATAACCATACATAATCAATTCTTAAAAGCTTGGGTTCTTATATTCACCTCACCTTTTTAAGATTTTGCCCTTAAAATCAAAATCATAACAATAATTGATAAATCCTTGTACTTGTACTTTCAAACTACTCATCTCTATAGCTTAACATACTATTGATGCTTCTCTAATGTTTGCAATGTAAGAATGAAAAACTTCATAGTCCAACAACATACTAACATCATATTTAACAACATAAACTATACCTTTTCCACAATTAAAAGCTATTCCGGACTTCTGAGGATCCATGGTAATCACACGGTTCACAGTTAGAGCACTCTGCATAGCCTGCATTGGAGTAACTTGTACCATATTTCGTGGACAATCTTTCATAAAATGACCTGATTGGCCACACTTAAAACATAAATTTTGTTCCTTCCAACAGACACCCTTGTGGAACTTACCACACTTAGCACATTTCGGATAAGACTTATAGTCACTACCCTGTTGATTCCCAGAATTTTTAAACTTATCATCAGACTATTTCACTTGCAGATTTTTACCCTTGTTGTTCTTCCATGAAGGCATCTTACTTGTAGTACCTTTAGGATCAGGTTCCTTAACATTTGATGACTTCTTATATGAACTATAAACTCCTTCCACAAACTTACACTGTCTAACCAAAGTGGAAAAATCTCTAGATGTATAGACTAAAACCATTTTTGCTATTTTCTCACATAATCCCCACTGAAACTTAGCAGCTAAATCAGTAGGAGTAGGTAACGCCCTTCTGTAATTTGCATATTTCTTCAGCTCATTAAATTCTGCAAGATATTGGTCGATAGTCATAGATCCTTGCTTTAGTTCCAAGAACTCCTTTTCTTTACTTTCCATATCCTCTCTAGTAAAATACATGTCCAGAAATATACCTTCAAATAAAGCCCAAGTAATTTCTTGTCCTTGTAACTCTAATGGTTGGATGGCATTAGTCCACCAATCATTGGCCTCATCCTGTAACATGTAAGTAGCATATAGTAACTTCAGTTGATCCCTGCATCTCATGACTTTAAAGATCTTTTCTAAAGCTAGTAGCCACTTGGCAGTAACAATTGGATCATAAGTCCCCTTGAAAGCTGGAGGGTTATTCTTCCGGAAAGCATTCAACTGTCTTTGTATAGTTTCATCATCCATTTCCTGATCTACATGCAGTTGAACATTACCATCACGATGACTAGCACCACTGGCATTCTCTGCATGGTGACTAATCTAAGCATTCAGATGAACAACACCATCACTAGCTTCTCCCTCAGAATATAGAACATGAGGCGGAGTAGGTGGTCGAGGCTGTGACTGTTGCTGCGGTGTATGAGGTGGCAGTTGATTAGTATTCCTTCCTATCCTCATCTCCTCGATCATCATCCTCATCATTTGCATATTAGCTAGCCTATTAGCCTCCAAACTATCCTCATTTTCTTTTCTAATAGCCTCACGGTTGGCATCCAACATCGCTTGGTTGGCCTGCCTATTTGCGTCCAATACTTGTTTTATACCAGCTAACACTGATGTCGTTGGGTCTGGCTGCGGATCAGATGTTTACCCAGTCTTTCTAGGAGATGCCATGACTCTGCACATGTTACACAAAGGAATGAGTTAGCTATGCTCACACTCAGTGATCACATATGCATTATTATAGACACTACCTAAAAGTTACTCAGGAACATCACACTTTTGACAATAGTTAAAATTTTTTGGTAGACTTTGCTTTGATACCATAATGTAACACCCCGTCGACCGTCGGTTTATTAACTCATATTACGAAGCGGAAGACTTAAGCAAATATTTCACCATTACTTAAATAACTAGGTGACTTAAATTTTTTCTTTTAAAATATCTTTATGTATTGCCGTGCATAATTTATTTTTGAATAAAACATAATTTATACAGTCTCATACCTGCATAGAATTCATACTTAATAAACCTGTGACCATAATTAATGATCAAATTACTATCTGAATACGATAATGAATTCCATTTCGATAGAGTCTTTACGGACAGCATAACGGCTGTAAATCAGACTAATCCAGGGATCAAATCCTACTTCCTGCATAACACCTGATAAACAGAAAAGTCCAATCCATATATATACATATATACCAGAATATAGCTCTGTGCCACTGCTGATATCAACTTACTTAACAATATACGCACTTATACATAATCTTGTCATCTGCATACAATTATCTACAAGCTATATATGCCTCTCAAAATGAAAATGCATACTGTACATATGCATGAACATAACATATCATGCTCAACAAAACATATATGTATATAGTGATACTCCAGAACGCTGCATTAGCTAACTGCTCCAGCTAGTATCTCTAGCCATCCTGAACTGGTCTCTTGCCCTATGAGGGCTCTCCTGCATCTGTAGTACCAAAAAAGTAAGTCCCCAGACGGGGTGTGTAACAGCCCGTTGTACACCGGTATTGTTAACATTAATTATGATATTAAGCGCAGTTACAATCACAGCAATTCATTTATAAAAATGCGAGTAACTTTTTCCGTTTATTACGCGAGCATTTAAAACAATAAAAAGCGTAATAATTAAAAGTTGTGACCGTAACTGTAAAATATTTGCGGAATAATTATTTAAATTACTTTTATTACTTATTTTACTTCCCATAAGTCACTAAGAGGTTCCCATAAATCCACTTAGCATAATTTTCACTTTTACGTTTTCTACTCTTCCGAACATGGTTCAGTCTTTAATTTTCTGCGGATAAACCGCATTCTACTAGCCTCCCGTCTTTTGATATATTATTCTACATTCAATTAAATTCCTAGGAAACTATCACACGAGTTATTTAGAGCTCGTTTGCTCCAGATATCGCCGTTTGAAGTTGAACAAGCAAAACTGCCAACCAACCCCAAAACAGCTCTAAACATCCCTCGCTCCACGAATTACTGCAGAAATTCCACTCAACCAATTGCTCTCAAATTTTTATACAACAAACTAGACACCTCAAGCTTAAATTTGATATATCATACACCCAATTTGACCAAGGAAAGAAGCAGGAATAAATTTCCCAAAACCGGTCCAGAACTGCCACATGTGCAGTGAGCAAATGGACAGTCTGAACTATATGCCTTCTACAGGCCGATTTTCAAACCATATTTTTACCAAATTTTACCACAAGATATAGGACATCCCGAGCTTGAAAATGGCATATGGTACGTCCCTATCGGACCTCTATGGAGGGAGATATGCTCCCCCGAAGTTCGCCTAAATTATGCCAATTTCTAGAAATTTTGCCAGAGTTTCCTTTGTTTTTACAAAAATCTCCAGATTTGCTAATGTGATCTAGGACCTCAAATGTATCTAATAATCATTGGGTGACACACACAAAGACCAGCAATGCCTTGGGGCACTTACAACCTATCACAGTTTATTTTACTTATACAATACGTATCACATTGCTTCCTTTATTAATACTTAATACGTTTCAAACATCAAAGTCCAATTGCATGCATTTGCTAATCATACCCATAATCATAATCCTAAAATAGGCCTATTGCCCTTTCATTATATTACATATGCTTCACATTACACAAGATCCAAATACAATATTTGCAATTATCCAAATTACAACAAAATTCATAAGTCTCCAAATGTCATAAACTACATGTATCTAGACTTAGGCAAAAATAGCATGAACAAATATGACATAAATCTCATCCTAACAACATATAGAATGTTCATGCCCTAAGTCTAGCCTAGGTCCAAAGGCCATCAAAATGCAAAATACTAATGATACTCCGGCTAATCATCCTACGGGCTTCTTGCCCGCCGCTCCTGCACCACTGCTACCTCCTGAAATAAAGCCCCAAAGACGGGGTGAGATATACCAATATATCTCAGTAACCCAGAGGTTCCGGAGAAAACTCCGCTCAATGGCTCACTTCGATGCATATAAATAATATAAAATAACATCTTGAAAAACAGGATATAGCAAGGGATTTAGAGAAACTGGGAAACATAGGGATACAAAATACGACGAAGCTGGAATGGTCGCTACCAATTCCACGCAACGTCCTGCCTAATGGCTCAGCATATAAGCCTACGGGTCTCAACCAAGGCGTGTTCCTAGAACATCCAACCGAGGCACCCTCCATCCATATACACCCAAGACTTCCTAGTGTGCTCCTATCCGGATTACACACCACGACCCTAGGTCAACCGGAACTCCCTCTCGGAGACCTATCCAGTGGAAGTCCGCAACGCCCGAAGGAAAACTGTTTACTGGCCAGAGACTCGGTACATCCAGTGTACCACTAACATACATAAAAATTGCATGATCATGTTATTCTACATTACTTACATACACTTCTTACCATCACCCTCAACGGATATGGTGAAATACACAAGGGGATCAAGCCCCAGTACTAAGAGGTTACCTGTATAATCCTCTTCACTTAGCTCCCAGTAATATATTCTCCGAGCTCTTTATACAACAGAAATGCCTACACAGAGGACATTCCCAATTACTTAAAATTCATACAACACATGCAAGTTATCAATTACACAAGCATGGTTTCAACTTCTCACCTCAATCCCACTTGGTCTGGGACTAAGGGCAATCCACCGAACTCAAAGTTCGGGGTTCAAATCAACGTACGACAACCTACAACAACCATGTACGAATCATCAATACACGGCAAATCTATCAAAATACGAAAACGTCAAAAATCACCTCTCCCACACGAGGTGGTTCGACCAAAGTAGTCTTATTTTACATTTTATTTTTCTAAATTTTCTTTCTCACTTTCTTAGGCATCGTTAGGTCACCAAAAGGCCATATCCAGTGCCACTTTTTATTTTTCGTCATTAGAACGTCGTTTTGCCTAATATTTTGCTCTAGGTCCAATTAACCACTCAACACTACCAATTATTTTTCCATTGGTTTTCCAACCTTCCAACCACCACACAACACATCTAATTACCATACAATTACACAACACATCATCCAAATAATTTTTCAACATAAATTCCTCTCTTTTTCTCTTAATGGTCGAAATTCAACCTAGGGTACTCCAAGGGATTTTCAATCAAGTTTTTTTAACTATTCCACATTTCATACAATCCCATTATAACATCATTCAATCATACAACAACTCACCAACACAATCCTAACACATTTTCAAAACCCGAAGTCATGGCACCATCAAATTTTTCTAAGTTAAAAATCATATTTTTCACCAATAATTTTTATTGCATTTATAGCTCTAACACATCATTCTAAGACATTATCATCTAATACACATTTTTCATTTAAGCTCTCTAACAACATAAATCAACCAAGCCCTCTTTAGGGTTCATGAAACAATTTCGAAAATCAAACCATCAAAAGGTGTAGGAACATACTCAAAAGCTAGGCACAAGGCTCCTCCAAGACATACTAGACCATTGGAGCATCACTCATCAACATGGACACAAATCTACCAATGTGAGCCGTGGCCTAGGGGAGGGTTTTTCTCAAAATCTAGAGGGATTTAAGGCTTAAGAGTACTACCAATGGGCTTGGAAGGTGATTTGCAATAGATTTCAAGCCAAGGATCTCTTGATTTGGTGGAGGAATGATGTAGTTAGAAGTGAAACAAGTCTTGTTCAAAAACTTGCACAAAGAGCCATGGAGGCCGCGGGTAGGGAGAGAGAGAGGGGAAGGAGAAGAGTGAATAGTGACATGGTGTCACATGTGTCAAGTTACTTAAGTGAGGTGGGCCCCACCGCCACCTCACGCGATTTCAAATTCATTTGTGTTTCCACTAAGCATCCATAAATTCACAACCTATTTAGAAATTCTAATTTTTAACATTAACCATTGTCCTTTAATTACCCTTGATCAGATGAATCCGGAGTTTTCTGGTCGTTCGGAGAAAATGTTGTTTTAAGCTGTTGCGCGCGCCGTTGGCACGCTTCCCCAAACTTACTTATTTCTATCAAATTTTATCAGAAATCATATTTCCTAGTTCTATAAACCATTTATAACTTGTATTCAAAACCTAGAGCTCAAAACTCAATCGGCACATTTTACGGTACAACTGTACCGCAATATTTTTACCGGTAAAAATACTATTCACTGAATTTTTTTGAAACTTGCTTAACCACTCAATTTTTCATTCTGAATCCA